ACGCTCTGGGATCCCAGTCTGACGGGTAGTTGCTCTATAGATCAGGAGTTTAGGAGCTTCTCCAGCTTTCTGTTGGTACCAGGCTAGGAAGTCGTCCTTAATTAAGAAATGGTATATATATTTGAGACATGTTAAAACAAAATGGGCAGATTACAGGCATAAATTGACTAATACTAGGATTTTTATGCAATTTATTTGAGTACTTTGTATGTGAGTAAAAATACAGTTTGTATGAATGATTTTTTAGTTGTGTCATTTCTGTCTGGTAGCACTGGAGCCCTGGATTCAATTTCCAGGATGATATCTGTGTGGAGCTTGCGTATTCTCTCCAGGCCCGCTTGGGTTTCCCACCAGGTGCTCTGGTCTCCTCCCACCATACAAAGACATACTGGCAGAGTAACTGGCTGCTGGGAAAATTGACCCCGGTGTGAGAGTGTGTGTGTTTGTGTTTGTCTGCCCTGCAATGGAATGGCTTTCGTACAGAGTGTATCCTGCCTTGCATCCTTTGCAAGTAATGCATGTAAATGTAGGATCATATTGTATTCTGTATATATGTATTTTTTTTCTTGTATTTGTCATTTTTTTTGTATCTTGTTATTTCAAGCGCACCACAAAAGAAAAGGTTTGGTTTGGCATGATGTTTACATTGACAGTCTGCCCCATTACTGGTTAAAGTGGTTAGGAAATGGATGGATGGACTTTTCTGTGCCACCAGGAAACATACTTCTCATGAGCATGATGAATACTGCAGATATGAGATGTGATCAGTATCTTGCATTCCAGCCTCATAATCAATACGATTGAAATGAGAAATAATATAATTATATTTCTTTGAATATTGTGTTAAATGGTCTCTTACAATAGTAAAATAAACTTATAAGTGTACCTGCAGTAGCTTCCAGCTCCCATCAGTGCAGTCGCTGTGCAGTCCTGCTGAGGGAGGTTTTTGTTCGGCTGTGTAACACTGTGTGAACAGATCTTTACTGTTGATGTAGTGGAAACTCTGACAGTAATAATCTGCTGCATCTTCAGCCTGGACTCCTGTGATGGTCAGAGTGAAGTCAGTCCCAGATCCACTGCCACTGAAGCCACTGATCCCAGTAGACCGATTAGTTGCTGCGTAGATCAGGAGTTTAGGAGGTTCTCCACCTTTCTGTTGATACCAGGCTAGGTATACATTACCATGCACTGCAGGACTGGACTTACAGCTCACAGTTACTGTCTGTCCAGAGAGAACAGATTTCACTGCTGGAGTCTGAGTCACTGTAACCTGTCTGGCTATAAACACCCAGAGCACTGAACCATGTGCTGCCAGTGCAATGTGTCTTTTCTATGCAAATTGTCTTCCTGGGTTCAGCAGCACCTGTAGCCAGTCAGTGCAGAGCGGATGGTATAATTAGAGATACATGAATTCTTTGTTCACTGGCACGGTTTTAATGAAAATAGTAAAAATTCAGGCACACTGGGTTAAACAAATATTAACAATGACAATACAAACTGTACACTACACACATCATAAACACACAAGCTACTGTATTTACAAGTATACAGACAAGGACTATGTCCAGACCATCCAGAAAACCCCAAACTGCAACCAAATACAGTACCTGGCTTTTTAATAATGCCAACAGAAGCCAAAGGAGAGATATGCTGCCTTCTAAATTAAATACAGCCTACGCTTGAATCTCTCACACTACAAACCAGATGCCACAGAATAAATGGGAGCCTATCTCCCTATTGTAAAATTCACCCGATAAGCAGGAGAGGCAGTTTTAAACTGAGGGATTTTTCACTCAGGAACTCCATGTTTCCTAAAAGCTACAGAATAGAAAGCTCTCTTAGCAAGATTCAGATACTGAGCTCGAATCAGGACTTTTCAGATGATCTTGAAGTAGGGACTCTTGCCTGGCACAAGTTTCCAGGTCCGTCTGTTCCTGTTCTCTTTCTTCTGGTTTTTCATCTTTTCTGTCCTTCTCCTGAGCTGATCTTATATGGTGTCTTTCTGGACTTTTGATTGACACTTTACTCATTTACTCAGATCTTAAGGTAAACCAAGGTAAACTTTAGGACTGCTTTGATCACAGGATCTGGACTCTCTACGTCTCAGCAAATACCCCCCCTGCTTTGAAGCTGGAAATGTTTACACTGCCAGGTGTTAGACAGTTTATCTAGATTCTTAGACACCTCTTTTGTCATCTACCTCAGCCTGTAACAATATTTACAAAAGACAAGAAAGCAAATTTAATTTATTTTAACAAACAATTTAAATATATGTCATAATATGTCAAGGATGATGAGCCCTAAATGTAGGAACCTCTTTTAAATGTTAGCTTTGTAGCTGACTGACTGCACCACCAGGCACCTTGAAGGGTGCAAAGACCCCTTTACCCCTGTAACAGTCCCTCAAAGACTGTTGACTATCTGTCACTGAGGACACTGTGAAGAGAAGAGCTATTTTGTTTTCCTCCGCTTCTAGTTCACAAATGGGGAAGTTGCTTCATCTTATGGCTACCCTGAGTTGGTGTCTTTGCCTTTAACATATTAGTTTTTGTACTGACATTGATCAGATCCCAGACTGAACATCCCTAAGCTTGTGACTGAACAGCTCAGTATCCAACCTCCAGCTCCTCTACCAACTGTACAGGGTTTCTCTGAACAAAGGAAACAAGAAGGAGATATCTGATTGAGAACAAAGGTGTCATTCCAACTATGTTAATTTCTGTTTAAAATATGACCTTTGTCAGGAATGAATTGATTATTTCAATATTTTTTTGGTCAGAGACTATTAAGTAAAACTACCTCAACAGACAAAAATAAATTACCAGATTCCAGAGTCAGGACCACTGCATGATGCAAGCCAGTCCTGACTCCCGCATAATGCGTATTTAAGACCCTATGCAGACAGCAAAATCCAGAAGAGACTGGAGAAGGACATAGGGAAATCATGGAGAGGAATGGATGGGAGGACTGAGAGGGGGAGGTGCGAGGGGGAGCACAGGCAAACTATTCCAGTGGGAGTCAAAAGGAAAAAACAGGGAGCAATAGATAGATACTTTATTAATCCCATGAGGGAAATTGCAGAATCCAAAGTCCAGGTAGCCGGGAGGTCAATCCAAGACAAACAGTTAAAAACAGGAACTGAGTCGGGACCGGAAAAAGAACAGGAACTGGGGAGCTAAAAACACGATGACGAGGCCAGGCACTCCAAGCCCCGGACCCAGATGGTCAGGACACCGGGAAATAAGGCCTGCCGTCATGTTAGAAATGAGAAGGTGTTCCAGTGATTGCAGTTAATGTAAGGTTAGGTGAAGACAGAATGAATTAATTGGAAAGCTGAATTAATAGTTGAATTAATGATCCAATAAAAGGGAAAGATATTTTGCCTGTATGTACTGTATACAGTAGTTATACTGTTCCTGGTATATTTCAGTGTTCAGGATGTGGGGTTGTAAAAATCTACAGTTAATCACGTTAAAGTACAACTTCAGCATCAATGACCAGTCAGGATAGAGGTTACCATGCAGAAACCAGCTTCACAGCAACAGCCTGCTAACAGCCAAATTTTACATCTGCAAAGGGACCTCTTTCTTCACTGTTAACCGATAGACATGATGTATCTGATTCTTGTCAACACTTTTGGTGTCCATATTTTCAGCCACAATGTTCTTAAGTTTGACTGGACGGCATACTGGACTAAGAGGAAGACTGAAAGTGGCCTTGTTCACTGCCAGACCAGAACAGGACATAAATATTGTCTGTGGTAATGTGATTTGTTCAGCCAACTCTGTACGTGGAATGGCAGGGATCTATCTAAAGATTTTTCTCTGTCTACATTAAGCGATCAGAACCCTTGGATATCGAACACAAATTGTGGAATTTTCATCCAGGGCAACTTTACTATGCACTAATACGTTCATAGTCCCTTATAAAGGTTAAATAATTTTTGGTTTAAGTCACAGGGCCAAAGAAAAAGATATTATAGCAGTTGAAATTGCATATTCCTAAAGCATTAATATACACTACAACTTGCTGCAGTGGATAGAACAAAATTACATGGAACACAGAGCCCAGGAACTAGGAATCCTCAGGGAGCTCAGGCTAACGGAGTGAGGATCTCCAGGCACTGGAACAGAATCAGGATGCCTGACTCCCTAGGAAGGAATAAAAAGACTTTGCAAGCGGAGCAGGAAGAAGAGGGAAAGTAAAGTAACCCAGGTAGCCTGAGAGAAAGGGGTGAGGAAAAGAAAAGAGTCTGGTGTAATAACAGAGGCTGGCCAGAGCTTTACTCAGACTATAAAACATCCTGCAAAACTGCTGGGATTCAGAGCACCACAGGGATACACCTTGTGTGTGTCTTTGGTGTTCTCCGGAAACGGCCTTTTTTAATTTGAATTATAACCCATTTCAAGCCATTGCTAAACTGCATTGTGATGTCTTGCATCTCTAAAGGGTGTATAGCATTAGAATTATTCTAGAATAAATGTGAAACAAAAATGCCAAAGAAGCCTTTTACATTTATTTTCTATTCACTCTGATAATCTAAGATTATAATTTTTACAAATTTGAAATAATTTCAACCCACACAAATACAGGGAGAATATACAAACTCTATACAGGCAGCACACCAGATTCAGAATTGAACCCAGGACACCAGCACTGCAAGGCAGCAATAGTAACCACTATAATATAATAATAATAAACTTTATTTTATATAGCACCTTTAAAAGTGACTTCTCACGACAATCTGGGGTTCCTGATTGATTCACTGGCAGTGGGTCTGGAACAGCCTTTACACTGACAATCACTGGAGTCCAGGCTGAAGATGAAGGAGATTATTACTGTCGGCAGGGTAGAAGCTTCCCTTTCACACAGTGATATGTACACATCTGTACAAAAACCTCTCTCAGCTCTACAGGAGCTGCTCAGCAGGTCTGAGAAGAACAGCAGAGATGCTACAGGAGAACTGAACAAAACGGAGTCTGTATATAATGTACAAATCTTATATTATATTTTCTCAGAGTTATTTTACATTTTTACACATAACTTTCTAATGTACAAGTATCTAAGTTAATAGATTTGGCAGCATGGTGGTATAGAGAGTCACCCCAAGCTTGTGGGCATGGTTACTCATCATCAGCCAATCAGGAACTGGTAGAGCAGGTTAACCCCACATGGGTCTCTGATGCCCATGAAACTTTCGACCAATGAACGACCTGCAGTTCCGCAGTGTAGCACAGTTCCCGGGGGCAGAACAGATCCCAAGGGTAGAACAGTTCCCCTGCTGGACATTCAGCCTCAGGGCACCCCCTGAACATCCTCCGACTCGGCTCAGACCACCACGGAACGGCCAGTGTGTCCGAGTGCACGACTTTCCTTTGTTCTGAGAGTCGAGAGCGGAGGTTGCCAGAGAGTAACCAGAGGATCCACCCGAGGTTAGCATCAGCAGCAAGCATCGTGAACAGGTTGGAACTGTGGACGGCTGAATCACTATTCAGAACTAGCACTTCATCAGGAATGAACCGGTCTTCTTCCTGACCTGCTGGGACCCACAGTCACTTTTCTACTGTGCACAACTCTGCTAGTTTCAGCCAGCACTAACTAGCCAGTTTTCAGAGAGCATCAGCAGCGCATCGCAGGAATTTCTCTCCAGCCGCAACAGCACTGCCTGGCACAGAGCCAGAGAGCGCCGATTGGACAGCAACAAGCCTGCCACTGTTGTTTGTGTCTCCAGGAGATCTGAATCCACACAGATTGGATGAGTATTCAACATTCTGCAATACCGCTCGAGAATGCAATTGTTATCTCAACCAGTTGATATCAATTTAATTCCTATGAGTGATGTACTTGCTTTTGAGTATCTAGTATAGACGTTGTAATCCAAGTTCATTTACGAAACGGTCTAAATGAATGATATACTGAACGTACGTCCCTCTTGGTATTTCTAACTCTTCGTGACTGAATATATACCTGTTGTATTCTGCTAACCCTCACGATAAGATCTGTTATGTTTATATGCACATTTTATGTATTAATAAATGTATTATCGTGTATTAGTACCTGTGTGTGTGTGCGTTGTTCGAGTTATCCCGCAAGTTTGGATTCTAATACCATCAAAAGATTAATTTTGTGACTTACTGCGGCAATTAATAATTGTCCCAGGTATGCACAAACCCCTACATTTACTGGTGCCTCGTGAGAGGATACTACAATACTATGTTAATTAGCAGGTTCTATTAGAATATCCCCTACTACCAAACTTTTATTAAGTTTTTATTTCTGTATTTTGTTTTTGCTACAAAATACTAGTTTCTGAAACCCATTTCCACTCACCAGATATTCTATACTGTAAATACAAGTGACTCGCATCTAGAGTTCTAGAAATTATTTTAAATAAAAAATCTGTCTTAATTGCAATTTCCTCGTATGATGTTTCTGATAGCACAGTCAATGATTTTTATTTTCATATTGTAATACCTGTTTAATTAGTCCCCAATGATTCCATTTTTTTGCAAGTGAGCTTTTCGAATGATCATGTTCTTTCTATATTGAAAGAGAAATATCAGAAGCATTCTAATGCTTTTCTAATCATCATTGTGTGCCTTGAGCAAGCAGAAAGGGCACAGGAATGTAGCTGAAGAGGCCCCTGTCTTTAGCTCCATACGGCTCTCATGCTGTGATCTCAGCCACAGAGTGACCCGGTGCTCTTTGTGTGTGGGGAAGTGAGGGAGATGAGTTTGTATTTTGCAGGACAGTGGTGACCCAGTATTCTCCATGATGGATGTTTGCCACTGGTGGCTGGATGTCTAGCAAAGAGCCATCTGGACATGATCATAAGGTCCAAGGTCACTGTTCATCACCCAGAGGAAGATCCATCAATGGGAGAACTCTAGGGTGGTACCAGAACCTAACCTGACAGCACCTCAGCCAATCACCAGCTGTGATGTACAGAATTCTGTCCAAGATATTCTTTCTGCAATAGAAGAAATCTTGTGTTCATTAACCAATTGTTATTTTTGCTGTATATTTCGAAATTAGACAGCTGGATCCTTTTTTTTTGGTCGACATGTTGAATGTCCGAATATATTCAGAAATAAGTTATAGCCAGGACAACCCTAATTCTCCCACCTGTCTATCTTGTGGCCAGACCCAGGGAAACAAACTGTGTACAAACTTAGTTTTTGAAGTCTGAAGTTTAGCAAGACGTTATCCACAAGTGAAGCCAGCTTCCTGTCTGACTGCGTTTCCACAGCAACCAGCCTGACTGGTAGAACTAGCCAACTCCACAGTGTCTCTGCTGCTGGGAAAATTGACCTCAGTGTAAGTGTGTGAGTGTTTGTGTGACTGTCTTCCCCACATCCCCGCTGTCAAAATGATTTAAATGAGAAATAGAATAATCACATTTCCTTGTATACTGTGACTGTGTTAAATGATCTCTTACAGCAGTGAAATAGCCAGCAGCCATATCACTCTGCAGCTCACAACTGGCAGCCCACTGAAGCTAAGCAGGTGTGAGCCTGGTCAGTACTTGGGAAAAACTAAGGTTGCTACTGGAAGAGGTGTTAGTGGGGCCAGCAGGGGGCGCTCACTCTGTGGTCTGTGTGGGTCCTAATGCCCCAGTATAGTGACGGGGACACTATACTGTAAACAGGCACCGTCCTTCAGATGAGATGTAAAACTGAGGTCCTGACTCTCTGTGGTCATTAAAAAATCCCAGGGCGTTTCTTGAAAATAGTAGGGGTGTAACCCCGGTGTCCTGGCCAGATTTCCCATTGGCCCTTACCAATCATGGCTTCCTAATAATCCCAATCTCTGAATTGGCTTTAAAAGTGCTTTGAGTGGAGTGTCCAGGAAAGTGCTATATAAGTGTAAGCAATTATTATTATTATTATTATTATTAAAATAAACTTGTAAGTGCACCTGCAGTAGGTCCCAGCTGTTGCTGTGCAGTCCTGCTGAGGGAGGTTTTTGTACGGCTGTGTAACACTGTGTGAACACATAACCACTGTGGTAACTCTGACAGTAATAATCTGCTACATCTTCAGCCTGGACTCCTGAGATTGTCAGAGTGAAGTCAGTCCCAGATCCACTGCCACTGAAACGCTCTGGGATCCCAGTCTGACGGGTAGTTGCTGCATAGATCAGGAGTTTAGGAGCTTCTCCAGCTTTCTGTTGGTACCAGGCTAACTCATTGTTATTATACACTGCTGGACTGGTCTTACAGTTCACAGTGACTGTCTGTCCAGGAAGAACAGATTTCACTGCTGGAGTCTGAGTCACAGTAACCTGTCCACTGGATTCTGAAAACAAGACAAAACACAGTAAATGTAGGAATTTAATGACACAAGTGATTTAATTTCTTTTAGCTGTTTTACACTGTTCTATAAAGCTTGTTTACATAATATGGTAAAATATATAAACACCAAAACAAATAAAAAAAAACTGTTTAATTCAACACCTAGACAAGTATTAAATTATACCCTGAGCAGAGATGAGTAGTGTCCAGAGGAAAATGGTGATGAAGGTCATTGTTGCTGTGGGTTCTGTTGCCATGAAGGGCAGCTCTCAGTCATGAAGTGTTAAACTCACAGGGCTATAAACACTCCCAGAGCACTGAAGCATGGGCTGCCAATGCAAAGTGTCTCTTCTATGCAAATTGTCTTCCTGGGTTCAGCAACACATGTAGCCAGTCAGTGCTGGAAGCACAGCCTTGGTGCTGTGTGTTGTGGCAGAGCAAGATGAGCAGTTTAGCATAAACACTCCCAGACAGCTGGACTAGACAGAGAGCAGCTTTATGAAGAGCAGAAAAGACAATTGGCTGAGCCCTGATTCCACTCAACACAGCTGGAATGGAGTGGAGTGAAGAGAGTCTGGTTAAAGCAGCACTTGGCTCTGTGTGTTCAGACACAGCAGGAATGAAAGATTAAAGCTCAAAATGTAAGTTGCCATTATAACACATCAGCTAACTTCACTTCTTCTTAATGTTGAGTGACACTAATATTAAGTCCCTCTTCAAGTCCAGCACTTTGTGTGTGGGGCTGGAGAGCCAGAGATTGAGCAAGAAATCACTGATTTCAGGTAGAGACAATTACAGTGGGTCTCTATATGGTGGAACCAAAGTGATTTAATTTTCTTGAACCTCCTCTCTACAAATGTTCTTTGAAAAAATATTTTCACCTGAAAATGCAGATTGAAAAACTATTCCTATTCCAGTGGTCCATCTTGCTTTCTCAGTTACAGTTAGCTAATTGGTTGAAATCTCAGCTAGACCACTGCTGCTGTTGTGCCCTTTCAGCCTGCACTTCCTCTAGATTGCTGCAGTAAAATGCTTGGCACATCAATAGGCTGCCTTAAAAGTGACAGTTAAATTAATTTCTGATTTTTGATAATCCAAGATGCTCATCTTGAATGTTCTTGAATAGAATCACCTTGAACATTGCTGCTGTGACAGCTTGTTCCACACACCTACACTTCTGTGTGTAAAGAGTTGCCTTCTGTTCTCAATAAAGCTCTTTCCACTATTATTTCTTTCTCCATATCCAGCCTTCATCCAATTGCAGATCTTGACATTGAATATTTGATCATCCAAGACCCTTTTGGGATATTGAATTTTCAACCAGTCCTGATTCCACTCCTGTGCTCTCTGTTTTCACTGTGAATAATGTCTGTAGCCCATCCGGCTTCATTCAACATGTTTTAAACAATATTTCAACGGAAGCTGTTACACTTTACTGTCACACACTGGACAAAGGAATGGTGTCCTTAAAGAATGTGTCACGACCACCAGGCAGTCAAGACCAAATCGTAAGCGAGCTAATCAGCCCCAGCAGCGGGTGATTATTAACAAACGCCGCCGCACGAGTTAAACCACCTGCGCACTGCTATTTATACCATCTTCACCTGCTTCCCACTGCTCGGTATTGAGTCTACTCCTTGAGAGCTCTACCTG